TTGAAAGCACTCACAGGATTGTCCTTAATCCGTTCGAAATCTTGCCGAGATACTAACCTGCAGTCAATCTCGAGTACCAGCTCACAAATTGCAGGCGTGGTGAGCTTCACCACTGGCTCAGGCAATTGGAACGTGATTTTGCCTTTGACAACAATCATGCAAATGAGCCTCTTGTAGGAAAGATTCGCAAGCGGATCGTTGAGAGCAATCTCGAATGGTCCTTCAAGTCGATCAGCTATGTGCTTCAGGTGACTGTTTTCACCAGCTGGAAGGATAGCAACCAGGTCACCTTGCACAGGACTCTTGAGCACCTCGGCAATGTTGCTCTTGGTTGTCAGAACAGCGCCGCCCCTGGTGGCAGAAAGCTGCAGACGGTGAGTTTGCAGCAATGGTTTCTTGTCAGAGCCAATGAAAGGTGAGGGAGATCGGAGCTGGAGATCTTCCCATTTGGATTGCTGCGGCTTGGCAGGCTTGGCCTTCCACGGATCCCATGAAGTCCATGGATCATTGGCATCCTTGCTTGGCCCTTTGGATGCCATCGAGCTCTGGGACCCTTTGGGGCGCTTGTTGTGGTCCTCAGGCATGGGCTCATCAACGTCTTGCATCCCTGCAGCAACATAGTGGTTTGGAAAGCGGTTCTCAAGAACCCTGATGAGGAACCAGTTGCGAGTGGCATTTGCAAAGGAACACAAGGCATCTGAGGCTTGTGTTTGGCCCCACAGCTGGGTAGCTTCATCCTGGATGACTGCAACCTCTTGGGCCCACCGCGATGTTTGCAGCTGTAAGGTCTGAGTTTGATTCAGAGCAATTTGGTCAGCTTCCAGGCGGCGAAAAAGCTGCCGAAGCAAGTGGTACCCACACATATGCGTTGGAGCAGCCTGATCAAGGAAGGTGAACTGTAAAGTCGATCTGTCGACTTCTGTAATGTGCACCAAATGGTCAAACAGGGGCCGCAAAAGCTCCCTCATGTCAACTGGGACTGTGGCTCCAAAGTTTGCCCCTGCGGTCGAGAAAAAATGCTTCAACTGCAATCCAATGGTTGTTCACCACAATGTGCCAGATGACATGGCCGAAGGCTGCATACTCAGGGACAAGATTGTTTAAGAAAGCCAAACTGCCTGTTTGTGTGTTCCACACAGCTGGGGCGCAGAAGAGCGTATTTGTACTCAAAGCTCTGGGACCCTCCAATGTATAGTCCATCTCATCAGTGGCAAGCCAGCCTCGGAACTGCTGGAAGTGAGCAAGGCGCTGTTGAATCCTCTGCTCACGTGTAAGCGTCGGCTCAGTGGCGACTTGGACAGTCCTGACAACCGGTGGCGGTGGATGTTCTACATGAAGAGCAACTTGAGTATGCGGTCGTCCCTGTACATGGCTGTGGGCCAAGATCAAGACGAAGTTCTTTCTGAGTCTGAAAGCCAATTCACCAACACCACGATCAATGGATTCTTCAAGCCAATCCTCACGGGAGCTGCGCAGAACATCATCGACAAGGTCAGAGACATTAGGTGGAAGTGGGAGCTGATCAGTGAGGTCCGCAATCGTCTGATGATGGCCGCATCATGAGATGCCAGCCACAAAGGTGTGGGCGGTAATACTCCGGCAACATGTGAATCTGGATGCGATGCGGTGCAATGTCCAGAAATCTTGCAAGGATCATCGTGAGGCGGTCCCGAAAATCCGCATGGATTTGGATGAAGGTGATGGAGGTTTGATCACCTCTTTTCGTGATTTCGACAGCCCCCCCAGTGGGACCTGACCAGAATTGGCAGGACGGTGGTCGAGTTGTTGTAGAAGTTGGGTTCCCCGTGACCTGCTTCATCAAAATCTTGCTTGGTAATGTCCCAGAGGACGGGTGGAGAAAACTTCATGTCTGAGCCAGACCACATAAGGGACTGAGTGTAGTAAAACATCTCATCCGAAGCCATCCACCCGTGTGTGTTGACCATAAACTCCATCCGTGCATCAAAGGTGGAGCCTGCGTCCAACGAGGGAGAAGGTCCAATGTTGTTATGGTGGCCACCAGCAAAGATGCGCTGTGAGGAAGCGAAAACAACAACATCTCCATGCTTCAGCAGATTGGGCATACCACTTGAAGCCCCGTTGTGAGTCTGGACAACTGAGACTGTGCCATCAAGAAGAAATTCTTGCTGAGTAGTCGTAGAATCCGGCACAGAAAGAACTCGACACGATCCATGGATATCATCACCATTGTACGCAAGGATTGAAAGAATACCTTCCGAGGGTGCACGATCAATGATTGCAATCAAACAACCCCGTCCGTGAGACACTGAGATCGCTTGTGAGTGAGGCAGCTTTCCCAGTTGCTCAACACACTTGTCACCATCGCTTTTTGTGCAGCAAAGTGAAATAGAGCCAACTTTCGAATTGTCAACAATGGTCACTTGGCAACTTCGCGGGGCAGAGTCATCTTGCAGTGTTTCGATGACTGGCTGAACTGCCCGGAAGAAGGAGCTCCTCGTGACCTCGTCAAAGGAGAGCTGGATGTAATCATCACACACAAAATTGGCTTCCGGCTGGAATGGTTGAGTCTCAGGAATATCGATGACCTCAGTGACACAGGGGGGTTGCTGCTTCGATGGTGAGCTGGCAGTGTCCTACTTTGCAGTATCCAATTAGAAAATCCCATTCGACTGCTGCCTCGGCGAGGGCACGAATTGGCCTGCGATCATGTGATTTATCGTCAAAGTTTATCAAAGCAATCTGGCGGAGCAGGTCAGGTGGACCATCAAGGCACTGCAAGAGTATCTGAAATCCACTGCAAGAAGACGGAAAGCGAACATCAATGCAGACCCCAGAAATAGCTCCATGACATCTGACGGACGCACTCTTTGGGCACAGTGAGATGGCTTTGGGTGAAATCCACAAGTGTAAGGAGTCCCTAGGCACGAAGTGCACGAAATCACCCTGCTCGAAAACAACTGTGTTGTACGAAGTGAGCCTGGAAGCCCATGCTTGCCTGACAAGCTGCAGTGGGTCAATGGCATCACCTGTGAGAGAGAGAAGGGCGATGGCAAGGGTGAGAACACTGTGTGGAACTGTGATCGCATTGCCCAAAACCTGGAACGTAGCTTGGACCTTTGACGGGAAAACCAAAGACTCGGTGGCCCCAAACAAGGACACAAACAGGCTGGGTGGAAAAAAATGCAAACCCACTTGCAGTATGTTGGATAACCGCAAAGATGCCCTTGGATCGCAGGTGCTCTTCACTGAGGAGGTGCTGCTTGGAGTAGGATGCACACAGTGTTGGCATCGGTTCAGAGGGGTCAGGAACCCGAGACCAGAGCCCCTGAGCATGCCTCGTTTGACCTTGTTGGGCCTTGCGTCGTTTGGCTGGAGGAAGAAAGCTCTCACTGTCGTAAAAGCAACACTCCGAATCACTAAGCTTGAGTTGGTGTTTCCAAACAGGTGGAACAGGGAATTCGTGTGCTTGCGAATCCCATGACACTTTGGGAACCAGAGTCGGATGGACAGGAAAGTCGAAAGCATTCGCAGGGCAGTCAGAACGAATCCAAATGCCAAGCCACCTCGTCCGCATGTGATTCACCAGAAAATGGTATGGGGTGGCTTGCGACCAAATCAACTTAAATCCCACCAAACTGGCATATGCCTGTACAAGAGGCCAATGTGCATGCTTGATCACATTCGGCCACCAACACAATTGGTTGGCTGCAGGCTGCAACACCTAAGGCTTCCAAAAAAGAAAACCCATTCGGGTCAGCTAGGCCAACTTGACGGCCTCCACGACTCCAGGATTGACACGGCGGTGACATCGTCTGGATGAGATTGAACTGAGCTCTGAGCAAATTGAGGATCGAAGGCTCTTGAACAGGGCTGCACACCCCCACACACTCAGCAGGATTCCACGGCACATTGTGTGCAATAGGAGGAAAGATTGCCGGGATGTTATGCTTCAGTGACCAAAGCTTCATCACTGTTTCGTCCGAGTCAATGGCAATCTCCTGCCCCTTCAACAATAAGGGCTGGGTGGAGCTCAACCAGCGAAGGGCCTGGCTCCACCCTGAAAAGGATCCTGCGAATAAATGCAAGGCGGTCCAGGCCATCTCCGGCACATATTCAGGCCTGAAGGCTAAAGTAGCCTGCTCCAGCCAAAACTCATGGGAACCTTTTTGATGCTTGAGCACGCCCGAGCACATGACTTGAACATCCTTGGCCAAGTGAATGGACCTTCCTGTGGCATCCAGAAGATGCAGGGTGATCTTGCTAGGGTCAGAGCTGCTGTCAACAAAGCCACCTCCAGGAACGAATTGAAGGGCATCAAGCTCCAACCAATGCTCTCCCACATCGACAACATTCCCTGCACAAAAATGCCTGCCAGCAACTGACGGGAGCAGAGTCGGCAAGGAGACTCCCGAAAACAGGCCTTTCACCCTTGACCGCAAAGGGTCCTGCAGAACCTGGTCTGCAAGAGACATCGCTTTCCCCACATCCATGGCGCACGAACCTAAGGAAATCACTTGGAAACAAAAGTCGCACACCTACCAAGGCGGGCGGGCAGGTGAGCCCACCTAATGGACGCATCCTCTGACCGTCGAGGTCAGCGAGATGCCCCCGGGCGCCGTGACCCCGAGCCGTCGGGCCTTTGAGCCCCGTGGCTACTTATACCATCTTATACCATGCCGGCTTTTTGGAGTGCATTTACAGTATTTGGAACGTTATCTTCAATGAACACGAGAGCTCTGCCAGCCTGCGCCAGAGTTCGACAGTCGGCCAAACGATGCTCCTTTTAAAAAGTCTACAGCACCAAGTCTTCACATCTCCATCCAACGAGGTGATGTAGACTTGTTGACTACCATAGTACCCACCATATTTATCCATATTCGGATTCTCAAGCCTCTTCATATGGAGTTGTGAAAATTCCTTAAAGAGTCTACATCAGAATCTCTCCTGATGTCATGATCCTTCTCGGACAAAAGCATCGCCCGGGACTTCCTTTTGTCCGGATCCCCACTCCTTCTCGCCTGCGAGCTCGATGCCCTGCAAGAGCAACTCACGGTCCACCTGTCGAGGCCGAGCTCGGTCCACCGAACATCACGGGTGGACCGTTGATGTGAGCACCAGCCCAATCTGGTGCCAACACAAGAGGAGAGCATTGATTTCATCATGAGCACATTATATATATATAGAGCTCAGATGAGCCACGGTCAAATTTATTACTAAATCAAAGGACATCAGGATTTGGTAAGTGTGTTATCGGGTTTCAGGTTGTGGTGAGTGTATTACAGTATTTTTTCAGCTGGAACCTGCGTTTTGAGATCCCATGTCCCTCTCTTTACTTGCGTAGTCTTCCGGAAATGTTGGCTGTGCCTCATAATGTATCCTCATATTATGAATTAATATGACATGATATCTTTTGTTTCACTGGTTGGTGCATGCCTTGTGGGATTCTCAAACACATCATAACACATCTAGCTCCTCAGGTCCTCGGACCAAGTTCGGTGAAGAAACCTGGCCTCACCCTGGTTCTGCAAGCGTTGGAAAGCCGACTCCCACCTGAGGCGTTCGAGCGTCTGGTGATGAGACGTGTGCGCAAGTTGTACCCCCCAAAAGAAGCTACGGACGTCCTACGGATTAATTAGACTACACGCCAAGTTGAAAAACTCCTGCTACTCCTTGCATGAGCTTGCCGACACGGCCAAACAAAAGCAAAAAAACAGAGCAACACATAGACTTTAAGGCTTTACGGATTATCACGTCTGAAAAGCCGGTTCAAAGGCCATTGCTCCTTGTCCGCACCTCCCAAATCCGGAACTGGGGGAAGTCGAGCCGCACTACGTCGCACGTCGATGCCCGACCCGCCTCTTCAACTGCCGCACTTTGGCGGCCTCGCTTCGACGTCGGGGAGTGAATGGAGCAGGCAAACGCCTTCAACGTTGGCCTCGTCCTTTATTTTTCTGCAAGGTCTCCTTTGGAACTTTATCGAAAGCGAAAAAGTGAAGTGCCAAAAGAGCACTCCTTTCAGCCCTTTCAGCACTCCTTTATGAGCTCTTTTTTTTGGAAGATTCAACCCGCCATCGCAACCACTGCAACCTCGATACAGGTCCGGTGACCATTGAACGAACCGGACACTTGACAGCGCCATTAGTGACCCTTACCTGGTGGAATGTATGACTGCCTGAAGTTCCACTACCAATCGGCCTCTGCATTGTGGGGGCTGACAGCCGGCCTCCGGAGTCGTCCGAATTGTGGGCATTTGATGGTGACAAAAATATCTAGTACTGTGACCAAGTGTCCGGGTGATCGTTTCATCACCATACTGAGCCACACGGTGTGTAGAAAACCATGAGTGCTCAATCTGCTCAATTCGATACCAAGTCTTTGGGTTTACTAGCACGGATGTCACGTCGTACTAGCACTCAGCATTCTTCAGACTTAGGATCCGACAAAGACGCCTGTCAAACAGTTCCGCATCCAACGCTGCGGAACTGGCAATCTATATATTTCACCCAACGTGTCCACATGCCATTGACTCACTGTCACATTGGACCTGCTACCCAAATCCATTGCTTTCACAGAACGGGCATGCTGATAACATTCAATGTCGCTCATGAGGATTAATTAGACAAGCTCCCTTCAATGAGGGGCATACGATCTACTACGCGTCTTTTCATCTAGGATTCATGAGGCTTTTCTTCTCCGCACTGACTCCGTACGGTCCTTTTCTCTTCAGCGCCCTCAGCCTCTCTTCCTCCGTGCACAATACACAATCAGTCCGATGAGCAAGGCACATGCCACACCCAGTGAGACGAAGACCCAGATGGAGACACCTCAGACTCGGTCGTTCGCAAACGCCTAGGAAAGCGATGATTATACACTCGGGAAGAGACCCACTTGGAACCTGAAAACCACTAGGTTGTAGAGGAAAATCGTCTTCCAACGGTCCATTTTCAGGTTCCATGTTAGTTTTCGGGAGTGTAATTATGATATGATATGATATGATATGATGAGTAAAAGCAACATTATGTTTGATGGTAGGCAGTAGGATAGGGGGCATGGCCCCAGAATGGTCAGTCTTCAGTGGTGAAACCAAAACATGTTCGAGATCAATGGAACTACATTGAAGAGTCTCCCTATCATTCCGCAAATGGAGAGCAAACGAACCTCTTGCTGCTATCTTCCAACAAACCACGCCATGTTCGCTGAAAGTCCTCATCCCATCTCCACGGATGAAAACGGAAGGATCGATCGACCATTGGCAGCCAAGACACGACAGTAGCCAAAAGTTGAGGTGAATGGCCGCATTTCCTCTGGTACTTGCCATATGTAAGCTTTGGTCGCACAGCTCAGGAGCGGAGAATATGGGCAATGGCACAGAGCCTGCAAAGAGCGAAAAGAGTGACTCTGGGACTCTGGAAGGTGGTTCTGGAAGCAAACTGGCTTGCAGAATGCAGACTGATTCCTTTTGTCGCTCCAAACACCAGATCAAAAGCACGCAAAGCCTGGGACAAGTGTATTTCACACGGCCCGTGACTTTCACACGTTGCGCTGTACGACTGCTGTTCTACTGTACAAGCAGCCTGCTCCTAGTCTTGGAGCTGCTAGTGGTTTGACTTTCTATTCCTTTAATCTTATTTGTAATCCATTCAAACTTGCAGAACCAGCAGCAAAGCCACGGAATTGGCGTAGTTCACATCGAAGGTCACAAGTTATGATCCCAGGCACATCCTGCCCCACAGGGTCTGGTTATCTTCAAAGAACTTGCATTCGCGAAAACCTTCGAAGAAAATGCTATCCCCTCGCAATTGAATGCGTTGAACCTTCTGCTTCTTTGGCCTTGAACCTTCCGTCTCACCAACATTGTTGGAAATGTAGCCGAAGGTGTCCCCCAAAAAGCCTTTACCAAAAAGCTGCCGGATTTCTGAAAGCTCCGCATCGCCAAAAGGATCTTGATAAAACTTGTAAATCGCCATCAGTAAGACTTTTACAGTAAAGCCTTCAGGCGGCGCTGTCAACCGCAGATTCCCATAGATTTCAGAGTATCTGGTGAGTGGCAGCTCCAGCACGACAGCTTTTGGGGCGCAACCATCCAAGCAATCAGAGAGCTTGCAACCCCCATAATCGCATTCATCTTTCAACTGGTTGTTGCAAATGCAGCCGAAGCCCTCTTCGGGAGAATTGCTCAGGATCCATCTCACTGACTGTATCAAAGAGCTCTTGAACATCTTGGCTAGAGGGTGTTCCATGGCCTGCTTCAACCTCAGCTCTTCTTGATTCATACAACGGTCCTCCAACTCTGCTGCCTTCTCCGGCTGGTTGCATCTGATGAGAAGTTGGCTGGGTCTTACCCCGTTCGCATCTGCAATGAATGGGTCCGCACCCAAAGACTTGAGAAGCATTGCCAAGTTGAACTGGTAATGCCCACTCAAAGCGCAATGCAAGGCTGTCCGGCCAATCTGATCTGTTTGGTTCAAGTCGGCACGGTGCTCTGCCAAAACCCGGATTCCATCCTCACGGCCCCATTGGCCAACGTAAGCGTGCAAAGGTGGCTCGTGCCCTGCACCGCCGACATCAGCACGAAGATGGAGCAAAGCCCGCAAAACTCCGCAAGGAATGCTGAGACCTCGGCATGCCGTGACCAAAGGCGTTACTTTGAAAGAGCCCAAGCCGTCGATTTCAGCTTTGGCCTCCAGTAGCAAATGCAAGATCTTGAGTGTCTCATTCTCCTTTCGTTGACCGGCCCTTTCCATCAAACTATGCAGGGCATCAGGCCCAGGAACAGCACCGGCATTGAGCAGCTTCTGAACCACCAAGAAGGATCCTGCATAGCAAGCCGCATCCAAATCGGTGTCATCGATTTTCTCCCCCCGAAGCTTCATTGCATCCAGAAGAATGGCAACATCTTCCACTGCAGGTTGTCTGAAGGACAGCTTCAAGAGCGATGTACCTGTGTAGGGTATGGTCTCTTTTGGAGAAATTTCCCCACGGGTCACCAATTCCAGCACAGTCTTGTACTTCTTCTCTTCAAGCAAGTCCATGAGGAGGCTCTTTTCGCCATTCTCTCTGTTCCAGAAGTATGGCAAATACCGGAGGTCAATGCTGGCAAGAAACTTGCACTCTTCAACTGCCATCCTGTGCTTCTGGCGCGCTTTGCTTCGAAAGGCAGTGTCTTGAGCCAGACTGGTTCCTAATTAATTACTAATTATATACAGTATATATAATAATTAGATTCTGTCCCCCAAAAATGATCAAGCAATATCAAGCATGTATTTAGAAGACGGACCAAGTGAGGTGGATCTGCTGATCTCTTGATACATTCTCGCTCTCTCTCTCTCTCTCTCTCAAGTCTCGTGGCCTATGTGATCTCTCAAGTCTCTCAGCTGTGGCCTACCTTGATGTTGCAACCAAGGCCAAACTGGAAGCTCTTGGCGTATGAATCCTGCACATCAAGGGACTTCACGTCGGATGGGCACTGACCCCACATCCTCGCGAGGGCGAGGTGCCAAGGGGCCGCAGCGAAAACGACCAGCTCAGCAGTCGAAACAAGGCCAGCTTATGCTTGGAGAGCTTATGCCATATGCTGTGCAAGCAGGCTCAACGTGCAAATCTTACTCTGTCATGAATAACGGTTGGACACTGACTGTACCATAATTATGATGACTGATGACATGACATATCCTTTTGCAAGGCTACTGCGATCAATGTGATGCTTCAAGTGATTCTGCATACATGTTGACACAGGTTGGACAATTGCAACCCAAGCTTCGCTGTGTAGATTTGTATGTCCTCTTTGACCGCTTTGAACTTGCTTTTCCTTAGTTGACCAGCCAACTACACAAAGCCAGTCTTTCAAAAGGTCCGAATCAACATACAGGTTCACTTTACTTCCCCTCCATGCGTCCTTCTACTGAGGGTCATTGAACAATATTGAACACACCCACATTTGATGCCTCCTCTGCCTGGAAAAATTAATGCAAATGTGCAACCGATGATGCCTCCTCTGATGGTGTGGATCTCTGTCATTCGACTAGTTGTCACACCCCTCTAATTAGTTGTCATACTCTCCCTTCAACAATGCTGGAAGAGGACATCCCTCGCGAAAACAAACGAAAGCAGTCTTCCACGGAGCCGTGTTTCACTTCCCTTCCATGTTTGTTGAAGATCAATGATCCATTTTTTTTTCACTCTTGGTCTTCACCCCCGCGTACGCACGCGTACGTCCATGGCTCAGATCTGTCGGTGCATTGGCCACTGCTTCGCCCAAGGTTGGCCCATCGGGCCGAGCTGCTCGGCCGGATTCGAGAGTCGAAGCCTGGCCCTCGGTCGAGAGTCGGAGAGTCGACGTGACTCTCGCCCACTTATGGGCCAAGTTTTTGCCGCCTCCGGCCCATTTATGTGTTTCTCCGGTAGAACCTTGTTGAAACATGTGTATTCCGAATCCTCAAAGCCTGAAACACCTCGAACTGCCTCAAACATGTCCAAAACAATGTCCAACATCATTTATATAGTAATGTAATTTAATGTCCAAAACAGCTCGCGTCGGTGTCCTTCCTCCAGCGCGAACCTTGCTTTGCAAATATTCACCGCAGCCCAAAGAGTGGGACATTCATCTCCAACGCTCCCGATTTCTTCAAAATGGGTCTGATCCGGTCTGACAAAGGAAGGGGATGAAGTGCCTCTGCAGTTTTTCGTTTGGCGTGGTTTTGTCAGGAGTGAGTCCGCTGCAACTGTTCAGTACTGGCTATCACGGGCAAAGCTGCACTGCGAATGGCGCAGGTGGCGCCAAATTGCAGGGCTGACAAAGCAGCACAGAAGGTGCATTGCGCAAACAACCGCATGGTGCAGTGATAGACGTGCTCGTGCCCTTATTGGATTGAAGTATATTGAAGTCAGAGAGCCCAGTGTGGAACACTGCTGCTTAAGGGTTGTAACATTAGGGCCCAAAAGGCACCTTTAAATGCCCGAGCAATGGAGTTTGCTCATCGTTCATTGCAAGCTAAACGGAATCTGCACAGTTGATGTGTCCGGCTTTGAGCCGAACACTGGCAGAAGGAGTCATCGTGCTTTGCAAACAAACTCACTGATCAAGAATGGACATAAATGTTATTGTCCATGCCTTCTAATTCTATAGCTTCTTGTTTCTAGCAGCTTCTTGTTACTAGCGTCCTAGTAGCTTCTTTGTCGCCCGTTTCCTTCAACTGCATTCATAACCTCCAACATTTGCTCCGGACCGGTGATCCTGACCGCTTCTATTTTTGGGGTTCTTTCACACCCAGCTGTGGGACTCCTTCGTTCCTTGGGTCGTACCAGGTCGTACCAACACTTTGCCACCGGTGCCATGGGTTTGACGCCCAGCCTGCCGCGTGGAGCACTTTACACAGCCTGCCGCGTCTCGGACCGATTGACGCCCAGCCTGCCGCTCCATGTGGTCCAGCTCCAAGCGGACATGGCTGGGGGAGGACCTTCCATGTCCGCAGATTTCTCGACATCTGCGACACATGAGACTTAATGGACTCAATGGACTCTGACTGCTTCGACCCCTCTGCGATCTGCACCTCTAAAGAAAGCCTTCAGTTTCATCTGCTGAAAACGGAGATGTTTCAAAGTATCGGCAGCTCATCAAACCTGAGAGTGTTACTACACCTGTCGAGAGAGCTGGCGGTTCCAACATTAACATGTTACTGTTACTTCGAAAGTACTTGACACAACTTGCACTGGCTGGGGTAAACTTTGAGCTGTAGACCCATTTGTTTGTGAACCTAGATTTCCAAACATGATAAACATATAACAACATAGAAAATCATCAAAAAACACTGGTGGTTTCAAGCTTCTCAGACCTTTGAGTACAGCATCGGCCTGGTGGCAGCTTCAGCAGGGAGCCCCTGAGCCCCTGGACGGTCGATGCCACGGGCGACCGCGGCGACCAAAGGTGAAGCCTTCAGTTTCATCTGCTGCACTGCGTGCCACGGGTGCAAACAACCTGTGAACATGTTCAGCGATAGTTCAATCAGCCCATTCCTCAAAATGGTGCCCCAACCGGGTGGAAGAAATATGGCTCAAAACCCGTACCCGGCCCGTACCCCTGGTTGACCACTGAAAATGAACAAATTCCTCTATAAGTGATGTCAATCCACCAGGATTTGTGGCTCCAGGTGCCATGACCCACAGCCATATCGTCTTTCCAACTGTCCTGTGGGAACCGAAGCTCTTTCTTCGGGCAACCAGATGGAGCGCCAGCAACATGACCATCATGACCTAGCCCAAGAGGGAGTCTTGACCCTTGGCCGCGCCCGTCGAGCGGCCTTCCGCGTCCTCGACCTCTCGTGGGCTCACAGGGTCGAAGGTCGCCGGCTCCTCGACCTCGGTCACAGCGGCCGAAGCGAAGGCGAAGCGGGTTGAGGAGGCCATTCGAATGGCCAAGTTTAACACGTAAATATCGGAATGTCTATATAGCCTGTCTAATCTTGGAAGATCTTGGAAGCTTTCAAGAACTTGGATGGGCTCTACTTTGAGTTCCAAGTACTAGTGGTCAAGTTCTTATGCAACCGATTGTCGTCTCCTTGACACAGGATTCTCACGCACTTTAGGCGGATGGATTGAGCTCCAATGTCGACTAAACTGAGCTCCAACGAATGGCCAAGTCATACCGCCCGTCCCTCAGTGACACTCTGTTCTGCTGGCTCTGCCTGGGTGTCATCAGGCTCCGACCTCGGATTCACTTCCAAATCTGACAGGGCATGCATGGCTCGTGGCCTTTACACCCCAGGTCCCTCTCTTGAGTGTGGCCGTGCTGCTTTGTGGTGCTTCGATGTTCACTGGCCGATGCCTTACCGCTTCGGCGGGTACGGACGCCCTGCCTTACGTCATGGGGCCCAAGGCGGGTTTGATTTTGACATTCATATTCATTGTGAAGATGTGTGTGACCCCACAAGGCAGCAAACTCAGGTTTCATTCACATGAAGCTGCGAACATCCACACCCATGGAGTCTCCCGGTTCTACACGACTTCTCTTTTAAGCAATTGGTGACTCCCAACCTACGACCCAAAGGAGCGAGTGTTCTTGTCTAAGCTCCTCATCCACGTCTGGTGCAGTCAGCTCCCCCCATCCCGCGGAGCGCCCATCGGGCCACCAAGCGGTTCTTCCTCTTTCTGCACCTCCACAGCCTGGTCGAAATCAACGCCAGGGGATGTTCATAAATTGTTTGGTTTTGCGACATGCTGCGACCAAAAGCAAGATCCGCAACAAACTTTCAGCAGTGGTTGTCAATGTAGTTATGCAGTATGCATGGTTTGTCGCCTCAATGTTTCTTTTCAACTTCCAACAACCCCCGCGTAGATCCTAGACGTGTTCGGCTCACTCAAACCCCTCCGGACTAGCTCAAGTCTGACCAGCTCAACTGTCATCCTCTGACCATGGGATGACCCCAGCCTTCTCTACGACCTGCCCACTTTGCATCCAGGCACGAACCTGCGTGAAAACGACAGAATGATTCAGCGATTCCCAGTCGACATGCAACGCCGGTTGGCCCCACTTCAGCCCGGTTGGCCCACACAGATTACTATATATTAATGATGGTCCACTCATCCGGTCTCATACTCAGCTTGAATGGACCCCTATGGACCGAAAGGGAAAACGAGTTGAAAAAGACAACCATCTCTAATAGCGAACATTCTTACTACTAGTAAGATCTAGTAAGGCACTTGTTCCTACTAGTAAGGCACTTGTTACTAGAAGCGATGCACTTGTTCCTAGTAGCGAACCTTGTTTCTACTAAGGGTGATCAATCCCAAATTCAATGACACAAATTTCCTCACAAGCTCTGACCTGCGCTGGAGCTGTGATTCCGTTGGGACACATCACAAAACATCTCACACCAACTGTTTTACGGTCGACCGAGTGGTCCCACGTTGGCAAGGTTCATGCGAAGCTCCCGCAGGGCTGGCGCGCTAAGCCGATCGAGCCTTGGCGAGTTGGGGTCGATCCGGATCACGTGTCAAAGAGGTCGGAGCTTTGGGCCATCTCCATCGATTCAAAACTTTGGCCCCTTCCAAAGCATTGAGTGACTGTTTTAGATTGATTGCGTGACTGTGACTCGTTTGGTGGCCGTGTGGCCTGTGATAATATATAGCATGATACTATATATTTTGATACTATCAACAAAAATGATATTGTAATCGTTGTGATATTATTAAATTTGCTATTGCTGTGGCTATATATTATGTGATATTCTATGATATTCTGAGATTCTTGGATTGGTGGATCATGAATGGGCTCCGCCATCCCCCTCCATCCCTCTCCAGTCCTTCAATGCTGTCTGTTGACATCTGTTTTACCTTCAAAAACATGTATCTGGGCTTCCAGACTTCTCTTTGGCGCCCCATGCCCGTTGCTGCCGTGTGAGCTTCGGCATCCACCTCTGCTGTCTCCACTGCGGACGTCTCCACTTCTGTCCGATCTGTTATGATTGGCCTCCTTCTTCGTTGAGACAAGTCAAAGGTTTGTTGGATCTACGAGAAGCAAGGGCCACGTCATCCTTCCATATACTTGGGGAAGTAGCCCATCACAACAAACCGATAAGCACGTTGGCACTCACGTTGGCCTATCTCTCCGTCGGCCGTCTGGTGTCCAAGCACCTTAGGGCAGAATGGTGGCATACGTTGCTTAAGTTTGTCCAAGCAGCAACATACATCAACTTTGCTGGACATCCTTTAGTTTATTTAAGACTATAGATTATTGTTTCTGTCTATATGCTGGCAACTCAAACCTGGACCTCTTCAGCCGTGCCGAATGTTTGGGGTCAGTCGGCTAGTCTACCTAGCTTTGGGCCAAGAAAAAAAGCAGCTGAGCGCACGCAGTGTGCTCCAGGGCACTCTTCCGAGAAGTGCAGCTTGTAGGGCGCACGCCTAGGCTCCACATGTCCTACAGTCACCCCTAGAGCCTACCAGGTTACCAAAGTCAAATTCATGCAGTATTCCGTACCTTACAATTGTTCTTTGTCTTGAACGCCTAAACTTAGCATCTCTTGCCTCTTGCCTCACGGGGCACCCGTTCGCATGCCCATCGCACCCCTTCGCAACAGCAAGCGACCCTCACTTTCTGCGATCATTCCAAGCAACCCAAGTTGCGACGCCATGGAGACAAACTTTGTCTGTGGCGTGGATTGGATGAGACTCAGGCAACACTGCTCTACAACGAGACTTGGACTCTTCAAGAATTGTGTGTTCATGCGCTACAATCTTCCTCAGTTCCTTTGAAAGCCGCATGTCTTCAGTCAACCAATGAGGGGTGAGAGACAGCTAGACTTCGCAAGGTATTGGAACATGACTGCCAAGGAATCAAATTTTCACCACCGCCTATTGCTGAGGCTGGTCAGAATAACAACCGACTCATGTTTAACAATAGATCAAGCTATTAAGACTTAAGATGCAATAATAACCCACGCACCGTACCTAAGAGTCTAAAACATTTCCAGCAACAGATGCAACGACAGTTGACCAAACAGTCTCAATCAGTGATTTATTGGCTGCGTCCAAGCCACGAATGTGTCTTGCGAAGCCCAGTTTTCATTGTGAACTGACAATTAGAACGCAAGACTTCCATGTGCACAAAATTCTGGCACAGTCATTGAACATTGGCGGTTCTCTTTGTCTACATCATACGCTTACATCTTCCTTTGATCATACCAGCAATCCCACAAATCACGCGTCCAGCATTCGCGTCGCCTTCCCGTTCCCTCCAAATGGTCGCCCCCATCAACCGCTGAGCAGTGACCTGAAGTTTTGAGTTGCTGGGCGTGTGGACTCGGGCGGAATCGTTGGAACCCGACAACGAAAAGCCTTCGCATGTTTTTTTTCCTCGAAAAAATGAACAGTGATGAACAGTGCACGATTTGCCCGGTTCTGGAACTGGTCCTTGGGGAGGAGGAGATTCAGCCAAAACGATAGGATCTTCTTGAAAAGGTTGTTTTTCCTACAAACTCATGAAACCGAAGCCCAAGGCCTTACGTCATGGGGGAATTGACGGATCTTCAGGCACAAAAACGCACAAAATCTCAGCGATTCAACAGGAGCCGGCGGATCTACAAGGCCCACAAAAGGTATCTAAATTCGAGTATCCAACGAAACATAACTGAACAAATACCCTCATGATATCTCATGATCGCATCCATATAGCTTGGGGCCAGCCCGATCTCCATTCTATACTTGAAGCACTCCATGAAATCATATCTCATATCTTGAGTCCTTCAAGCAATTGACATGAATTGACCATTGCTCGGGTCAAGACGTGTACTCCCCTCGCACGCTGGCGTGACTTCAATGCCGACCTCTCAGCCAGAACCCGATCCACAAAATAATGGCACATGGGCTATCATGGGTACATGGTTCAAAATCATGCACAAACGATCTTGCGTGGGAACCTCATATGCATATATAGCAAACTAACTAACCCCTGCAGCGGTCTTGTACGGGTACTTTGGGCAACTCGTAGGCACCTCACCACCTCCTTCAAGCTTCAGCCTGTAATCCATCCCATACTCCCTTGCGAAATCTCCCTGGGGGATCAACATCTATTGGAGGCTTTAAACATCAGCAACAAGAGTTTTGCAGAGCGCTCACAGGGTGACATGACCCTTCTGCGCCATCGGTGCCTCAGAGCATGGCCTGACAAGGCGCAGTGCATGTGGAGCTCCCCAGATTTTGTTGTTGAATACTCTGCATGTCCTCTGCACCACGATATATCCAACTTGTGTTCGTTCTTTAAAGCCGGATCCGACGGATTCGCTGAACAGTTGAAAGCTGGTGCAACTGAGTGTACTCATGTAACCTACAAATCATGTGCTGATCATGCATGTACGAAGCGTATCGAAGATCGCCAAAATGTATCCTGAATGGAGTACAGTGTAGTGCAACTCCTTTTTCTCCTCTCTCTCTCTCTCTCTTTCCTGCATGCTCCCTGCCTGCCGTCCGTCCGTCCGTCCCTCGTCAAATCCAGCACTGCTTTTCAACCCCACCAGGGAATCCAGCTCCACTTACTCACCTGTTTGCTGTAGCATTCCTTGGTGGAGAGTCGGACCGTGACCATTCGTGGCTTGTTTACCTCAGTGCATGCAAATGCCATGGTTGAAGTGGTTGAATATCATAGCCAGCGGACAGGATGTGCCTCAGCCGCGCAGCGCTGCTTGCCCTGCTTGTCCCTGCACATTGCGGCTTGCATGAACGACTCTGTAGCTCTGAACGTTTCGTTGCCAGGTTTGTTTCGTTGCTCAGGCTGTGAAGAAACGCCTCTCTAGTGAAACGGCTCAAGCAAAACTCAAAGGTTCCATTTGGTTCCATTCACCTTTGATGCTGCCCTATCATCTCGTTCTCTGCTTGGTGGCTGCCTATGACTCAATGATGCCGTACTGGCGTCTGAGTCCTGGTGTGCCCAATCCACACCCCAAATCCTGCGTGCCTCTGGCGGAAGGAGCTGAAGATGGTCGGGGAAAGGGGGCGATGTAACTCCCTCAGTGAGGCTCTTGGCCGTTCGCGGCCGACGGGGGAAGAGTCTTCTCTCTCGCTCGCTCTAAGCGGCCAGGATTCGGGGGCCGAATCGGCGGACGGAGCTCGAAGGCACCGAGTACGGCTCTCCAAGAATTCTTTCTCTCAATATGCCATCTGAGCAATGCACTATCATGCATTATCCATCATGAGTTGCCAATGACTTGTGCAGGAGCAAACTGACGGTTTTGGCAGAACACGCTGCGGTTTTTGGGCTCTGGCGGCTAGGAGCCATGAATCAAGTGGTCACACCAAAACATTTCAGATCTGAAGTATGTTTCTTTGACAATAGTTTCCATCATCTCCTCCTACAGCATCTTTTGAATTTGTGGAATCTGAAACTGACATGGGTCCACATGGACTTTTCATTAGAGAACATGCAAGCTGATTCAGCTACAAGTATGATCAAGTATGCACATCCGTCATGTACCGGTCTGACCACACTTCCGTGGCAAGAGTGGGAGATCTTGTAGTTTTATGCGCTAGGAGCTCTGCACTGCTGTTTGGACAGGAACCTTAAATTGCTGCGCGTCTCGGAGAGAACATCTTCTTCATTCTTGACTAGGTGTTCCTAAGCTTTTTGGTACTAAGAGACTTGAAGAGCGTTCAAGTCCGGTTCTGAAAGCCAACTTGAATAGCTTGTCAGGTCCTGGAGACTCTGAAGAGTGCCACAAATGATCTCGGCGGATTTTGGCTCATTGGCATGGGCTCCGTCTTGGAGCCCGACCCGCAAATGGATCCGAAAAAGGGGTCACATTGGAGCCCGAAAAAAAAAAAAAACACCCGGGCCTGTGATGGTGTGGACGAAGTCAATTGGGCTCTGCGCCCGAGTACAGCAAATTGGTGGACATCCACAGGTCGTACTATGCTAGAAAACATGCGCCATCACATGCTCAGGCTGTTGTGCCGATTCAAAAGTCGCTCATGTCAAAGTCCTTTGAGTCTCCTGGCAGCTCAGCTCTTCCAACAAAAACTCCACACGCCGATAGGGTCCATCCTCACGCCTTCAATGTCACAATGATACACAATGTCTATCGCCCACCCAGAAAAATCCGACTGGCTAAACTTAGAAACAAATCACTGCAACAAACAACCAACAAACCAACAGATTGCAAACGATGCTTCTCAAGTGACCTGCTTTTCCAACTGATCTGTTTCTCCCAGCCTTCCACTGAGAGCGCTTTTCGGCCGGATCTCCATCCTTTGCGATGCGACAACCACCACCGACGAGTTTACCAGGCGATCCAGCGACGACAACGATGCGAAGTGGACATCAACCAGGCGATCCACACAAAGGGCAAGGAGCAAGGACGCTACTAGGGGCTCCTGGCATCGCTACTAGTAACAAGGTCATTACTACTAGTAGCTAGGAACTACTAGTAGCAGTAGTAGTAACTACCCGAGAATAGGGCAATGACATGCAACGAACATGGCATGGAGCATTGGTCACAGAAGTTTGGCTGAATGGTTTGGCAGTTGCTTACGTTCAGGACTCCTCACTTTCAAATTGAAAACGCCTCCCTTTCCATGGACAAAGGGCGAGGCAATCGTAACATGGCAATTTCATGCAACTTATTGTAAAAATCGTTGTCTTCTCTCGATTCTGTTCAGAGAACTGATTATACAACATTACAAACCGAGGTTCTGGAAGGTGATCTGGTTCATAGGGAGGGGATATGTTCATCCATTCGCCGCTTCAGCAACCCGTCCAAGTGTCCCAGGAACCACAGGAACTCCGTTGCACAAGCCCTGCACTTGGAACTGAGGCCAGCACAGTGGGCCCCTCAGTTCCGCACCTGAGATTGCGAACAGAAGCATAAAAGCCATCCCCAAGAGCTACATGCTTTTAAGATTGTCAAATAGATTTCTGTCCGGAAGTCATGCGGAAATTTCATGTGGAGATGTCCTATCTTATCTCAGAGTCCGTCTCGTTTTATCGCAACAAAACAGTTTTGATTCATCGCCGGTCAGAAACTCTGTGCTTCGTCAGCGGTGTGTCTTGCTCGGAAGCATTGGAAACCTCTTCAGAGCCAGTTTTTGACATTTATTTGCCAGCCCTGCCATCTGTTACATCTTTGCAATGCGCCGACCAGTCTTTGACAGCAGATCTGTTTGACCTTGTTCCCAACATCATTGCCAGCAACCAAGCCATGATCTCTTTGTTCCTACCTTTCTTGTGTGGGATCTCTTGTTTGGGTACCAGCATGCAGGCATGCACTTAGGTCTGCAGTGCATGCTGCTTCACCAACATTCCTGTTGAGTGGTCGCACGAGCAATGATTCCTTCTGCGAGTTCTGCTTGGCCCATGGAGCCTAATGTCCAAAGAGGGTTTGAGAGTGTTGACAAGTGTGTCAGCGCTCTCTTCTAACCTACAGTGTTAAAAGTACATCATAATGCAATATAACATTGTAATCATTATATTTCATTTACAGTATATAGCCCTTGCACAATTTGTGTCAGGAAAGTCAGTGGCGTGTTATATTGTGGGCCCAGCTTTTTCTTGGCCTTACCATGCCTTACCATAAACTTCTCACAATCTCAGTCTATCCTGGTCGCGTGATATGCTGGACAAGTGTCAGAACTGTTCCAAAAGCTTCTTCGCTATATTATGACTGTATTGTGTGAATGGGGCCTCCACACCGAGAACCAAATGCGTCCGCAAGGCATGCACACCCTCCACCCTCCACCTCAACTCCCCCGCAATGGAAAACAACAAAGGCATGTGCCAAACGTTCTCGTCCTGACCAGTGGCGTTGGGGCGCGCGCGTTGGGGGGCGTAGCCCACAGTGTACTAACCCTCCATTCAATACGAAACAAAACGAAACAAAAACACAACAAAAAACATACCGTTTTTATTTTTTTACACCCCACCGAACATGGGCAAGTGTCAAAACGTGAACACGTGCAAGTGTCGACATGTGCACGCATGTGAACCTGTCAACAGCACAAGAAACCACAAACATCCACAAACAACGCATCGCAAAAGCTAAACACACACACACACACACACGCATATAAACATGATGTTCCCTCAGCATGTGGGCTGCTATACTCGTTTGAAATAGTTTGATCAAAGAATGATCAATTCAATTCATCCCAGCTTCAGCTTCCATCGTGTTTGACTGAGCATGTGGCTGTCAAGAGCGGAGTCAATCGCCTGAGCGGTCAATGGGGATCGATAAGCCCCTTACATAGGTATGCTTCTACCATGGAGATGGGTTCAAGCCTGCCGGATACAAGGCTTTCCAACAGGTCGACGGTTCTAACAGCTCTGGCGCCTTCATCGGAAACCATGTTTGTCAATTGATATCGCGGTTCCTGCGATTGATTGCACCCTGCAAAGAATGCTTGAAAAAGCACCAAAGACAAGACGAGCCGCCTATCCTCAAACCGTTTGCAAGACAAGACTTCGGCATCGAGACCAAGTCGATCATTTTGGTTTTGCAGACCAGACGTGTGTGGTGTGGAGGGAGGAAGTATCTTGTACATCCCCAGACCTGAGACAGAACAAACCACGGAAGAGACATACAGTGCTTTCAGAGTAGATGGCACAATCCCCAAAAGGTGGTTTGTATGGACCCCCATCTAAAAGACATGTAGGGGTTTGTGCCATCTACTCTGAAACCACCGTATATAATAGTCCAGGATGTCAAGAATATCTAAAAAAGCACACTCGCTTAGTCCCTAGAGCAAGGGCCAGGAGCAAGGCCAAAGTTGGCCTCATGCACAAGTTCTCGAGGTGTTGCCCTGTTAATCCCTCTTCCTTGAGGCCATAAAGTAGCTTCAATATGCTTCAATGCCAATGGCCTTCTCCCCAGCCACACTTCTCCCGTGGCCTCCAAGCCAGGCTGTGACCTCAAGAAACGAATCAAACAAATCTCTACAAACTCAAAAGATCTCAAAAGTATTGGAGAGGATCTCAAGACCATTCAAAGCGTGAGTCCAAACATTGAACGTGTTTCGCCAAAGTATCAAATGTGCCTGCCACGTTCAATACTTCCAGTATCAAATGGGATCGAAGTATCCCTTCCTTATGTTTTGGATGTTGTAAATGTTACATGAGTTAAATGGATCCTTAGCACAAGGAAGCACTTCCAGCTTTGACCACGAAAAACGCTTCAGCACTCAGGCCGTTACTCACAACGTCTTGACAGCCGGCCTGGCACGGTCTGCTCGCAGGATTGGATATATATATATATATATGAATTGTCATTACCCCGAAGCCTCAGCTGAAACAGGCAGCAGAAGGTCCCCCCAAACCGGAAGAAACCTCGACTATTTGGGAGGCAGACTTCGACTTCGGCGAAGTCAACATCCACACATGGAGAATGCAACGCATTAGCAGTCACATCCAAACGTCAAAACCCTCCACCGGGCTGTGACCTGCAGTGCGAGGACGCCTCAGGTGCGAGGGGACCGAGCCCAGGCCGGGAGACTCCACTGGGAGACGGCACGGCGCTACTTCGTGGCCGGGCTACTCACTCCGACTCGCTGACCATCAAAACCAGTGACTTACAGGGTTTTGAGTCCGAACTCCATAGGGTTTAGCCGGGCGCTCTGAAACTCCGATCATGGCACTGGGGCACTGGGACGCCATGACCCACGCGACGGGAAGAACCGAATAGACGACTGGGGGGCCCAGTCGTACACCTACCAGGGTGAGTGAGTTCGGAGCTCCAGGTGCCATGACCCTCATTTCACATGAACGCTTGAAGCTTTGCAGGAACCTGACTTCGACCATCTAAGATGCCCTTGGTTGACTGGAGACCTAGATGCCCCATCTTTCGACATCTTTCGACCATGGTTTCATCTGCCCTTCTTGAGAGATCTTGAAGAACCATCTGTTCGAATGCTACCCAGACTGGGGCACCCTGACGCGTCAAGTCTGTCCGTGCGCTTGCCCCGCACCTTGGCTATAACTCAGGATTTCATCACACTTTAAAGAGCCGTTGAGCACGACTGTTCTCAGTGAAGGAAAAGCAGCTTTATCAAAGTGAGCAACGTGCTAACTGATAAATATAATCCATTAGCCTGTGCTGTGCAAAAACCATCACAGAATCGTAGGCTGGTGGACAAGTTAAAGTTGACCATTCAAATCATGTTAGGGTTTTGATTTCTGCCCATCGTTTGACTGCTTGACCCTGCACTTATGCATGTATTGCCGGAACCATGTTGCACAATGCTGGGGTCACTACCAAAGCCCCTGTTCGAGGCAAAGCTGCACCAGGTGAGCCT